AAAAGGGACGTTTGCTTTTGGCCATCAAGGTTTGATGATCCCTATCTCTTCCTTTCTACATACATGTTATAACCATCACTCTGATTGCGCAAGGTCTGACACTCGTCTGGTTTTGTTGAGCCTTTTTTTGTTTATATTCTCAATGCAACAGAGCGAATAGTACAGAGAGGTGACTCTGATTAAAACTAAGACAAGAAAAGACTATTTGCGTCGCCTCCTATTTGCAGGCAGCTCAACTCTCTCTATCTTTCAGTCTATTAATTAAGTACAAGTAATTTTTACTTATCTTCTTACCAGTATTCCTTACATTCAATGTATTTCCTATTCGGTTTATTTCTATGGCTTTTATAATTTTACGTTAAGTATACCATAACCAGGAAAACGACAAGTTTAAGACCATTCAATCTCGTGTCCTGTTTCTGGCCTATGCTCAACAAGCTCCGATTTTTAAACCAACAGCCTTTGCAGGCGTGTTTGTGCTTAGCAACCCATTGTTGAATGGGACGACAAGTCTCCACCATAAAAGTGTCTACATGAACAAATTATTTTATAGCAACCCAATCTAGTTAATAATGGGTAAACTTTCTCTCTTAAAATGGGCATAACTGAAGAAAGTGTCGTAGCTTCTCTGAAGACCGTTTTTATTCCTCAATTCCCTACCTATTCGCCTATCCTTTTAGAGAGAATGCACGAAGGTAAAGACACGAGAAAAGTTTTGCATATCTTTCCTTACGTATTCACCTTTCAAAAAGCAATTCTTTATTAATCCAATGTTATTATTCTCATAAAATATTATTTTAAGCCGATTCAGTTCATTGTAACAATGGCCCATATCGGCTAGTCTTATGCTCCTAATAATCATAGATTTTAAAACTTCAACCTTTGTTTCATAACTACGATTGGAGAAGAAGTTTAGTATAAAGTCTTAGTGATCAGAATAGGTGATAAGTTAAGCAGGGATGTATATAGAAAGCCAACACATGCTGGCTTTATACTTAACTTCTTCTCCAATCATAGTTTTAAAATAAAGTTTGGAGTTTTAAAATTTATGATTATTCGGAGCATAAGACTAGCTGATATAGACCATTGTGACAATGAACAGATCTTCTTAAAATAATATTTTTTAAGAATAATTATCCCTTAAGCTTGATTGATAATATCATTAGGTTAATAAAGAATTGCTTTTTTATGGTAAATACGTAAGGAGAGATAAGACCTTTTCTCATGTTCTGTCTTTACCTTCGTACATTTTCTCTAAAAGGATAGGTAACCAAGTAGGTAATTGGGGAATAAAAACGGTCTTAAGGGAAAGTACGACATTTTCTTCGGTTATGCCCATTATCCCGATCGGGTTGCTACAAAATAATGTGTTCATGTCAGCATGAATCTTCCAGTAAAGCCAATCGACAACTGGTCAAGAGGAATTCACCGTCGTTTTCTAGTAGAACCGACCTTCGAATCTCTACACTCAACACTTTCACTCGAAATGAAAGTAAGCTCAACAAGGTTTAAGTAGGCAATCAAATCAAGGAAGGCCTCATTAAGATCGCAATGTTAGATGCATAAAAAGGCGACTGGGGTTGCAGTCAGCCACCTTCTTCTCTTAATTTAATATATTTTAGCTATATTTCATAAAGTATTGAATCTTCCTCTGATGATGTCTGTACAGAGTACAGACGAATGCTTAGCACAGGAGACTGCGACCATACCCGAGGCCACAACATCTTGGTCTTCACATCTACAGTTTCATCAGGTTCGCAGGACGGTGGGCCGCGGACTTCTTCGCACAATTCAACAGTTCCGTACGCGACAATCCTCCTTCGGTTTCCGGCGAGACCACATCACGAATTCCTTTCCTTTTGAAATGGAGAGTCATGCCACAATATTTAATTAAGAAATTCTTAGAATCCCAGTTTGTATTCATGTCTAATTAGTAAATAGACTTGTCTTTTATCTTATCCTGCATATTGCCCCTTTTTACGGAGTATTTCTTCTTACTCTGGCTAAATCTTTGATATGACAGACTAAAGTTCGAAATGGGTTCTTCAGACTTGCAGAACGTGAGTCGAAGACCCCACACGATCAAATAGTCTTCATTTTAAGGTAATCTTCTTTCTGTTTCCAGTGAATATATTTATTAAATGCGTTTCTGACAACTTTGCCCCCAAAATTAAATTTCGATTCACATATGTATTTCTGGGATTGTTATTGCTTTTCATCTTCCTTAATTTGGCTTATTAAGAGCAGTTATTGCAGTTTAATTTGCCCCAGTGACTTTTTATATTAATTTTGATTTGTCTGTAATATTATGACTCACTTGATCGTTATTCTTAAATTTTTTTCTTTAGCAATAGAATTTTTTGTGTGATATTTTTATCTATGTTAATTTCTTCCATGTTGAAAATCAGCTCATTTTATATTTTTACTTGAGTTTTCTTTCATATTAGAATCTTTTGTCAAGTTAATCATTCGAAATGATCTGATTACCACAGATTTAATTTTAAACTAGATTGGATACAAAGTCATCTTATGAAATCATATTCTGACTACAGTACACGTTTCTGGCATATTTTAGTATTATGGCATATTTATTTTTACTATTTCAGTTTCCGTTTATGTCAACGAATGTTGGGGTGACTTTGATCTATTACTCTATATTCACGATGACGACAACTGGATCCTACAATCTAAACCCACCAAAACAGAATCCCAATTTTCCGATCACACACCCTCGTCTTTGGTCACACTCAAGTCAGAATCTGAATCAAGATCACAATCCTCAGGCCATATTAACGGGACAATAGAGCAACACGTTGATATGCCTAGGTCAGACTCCAGCATAGCCAATAGTAGTCTTGAGATCGGCATTTTTTCTAAGGAGGATCTATACGCCAATCATTCAGTCACTATCTGCAACCATTCTTATGACTTAGACTGGCTCTCCAGTTGGACTCTTTGTGAACGTGTCGGCAGACTTGGCGTGAGTTTACCGATTTGTTGGCATATTTTCTTATTAGTGCTGGCATATTAAAATAATAATGAAAGAAGCGGATTACTAGCTTTGATCCTGGTTCATATCGAAAGGCACAATTAAGCGCCTGTTCTTATATAATATTAGTGGCTTTAATGGCAACGTTGAATATAGAACATAAATTTTTGCTAATTTTTGACATTTCCCCATCCTACAAAATTATGTTCTTATTCTTTGCGAACATAATCCGACTCGCTTGAATC